TTAGCATAAGTTTCCTCCCTTCAAGGCCAGTTTTGCTAGCTGGAGTGGAAGTGAGACAGAGTGGTGGTTTGCTGGCCATTCTAGGAAGCTAGTGGGATTGAGCTTGTCTAGTCCTTACATAAGCCTCTTTGAGTGCTTTCCCTTTGTGCTCCTCAATCAAGTCCATAGTCCAATGTTTTTGAGGGGGAATTGAAGAAACAAAGAGAAGGAGAAAGTCATAGTGACTTGAAGTGAGGAATGTTGTTCCCTTTTATTATTTTCTGATTCTCCTAACTGAGTTTATTCTATCTATGTCAGTAGATAACTCATATAACTTTTATATCTCCTGGATTTTGTCTTGACATATTTTCCTCTATTTTATTACCAGTTCAAGAGAGTTATCTGTTATGTATTGTAATTCAGATTGAAACCTGTACATTCTATTACAGAAATAGAGACTTAATAAGTGTTGTCAGACACTTTGTACCATTTCACAATCACACTTACAACCTATGTACAGAAATGGAATGAAATACACAATGTACTTTGTCAGTCCAAACTGAAATTTAAAAATGGATTGTGTTCTCTGTGGCTGTGTCTACATTGGCCCCTATTCCATAATAGGGATGCAAATGTAGCACTTTGGAATAGGCAAATCCGCGGGGGATTTAAATATCCCCCGCGGCATTTGCATTAACATGGCTGCCGCTTTTTTCCGGCTTGTAGATAAGCCGGAGAAAAGCGCCAGTCTGGACACGATCCTCCGGAAAATAAGCTCTTTTCCGGAGGATCTCTTATTCCTATTTCCCACCTTGTGACCTATATTTTTCCATCTCCCCTCTCTTCAATTCTGCCTCTGTTTCCTTTTCCCCTTTGTAACCTTGTGCCTTTTGTCATGTTTTGTACCGCATGATCCTACAACAGCCTTCTTTCTCTAAAGTACTAGTGGCTTAATTCTTCTTCACTTCCCTCTGCAGAATTCATTTATTGTTACTTCCTTTTCCCCACTCATCTCCATTTGGACAGTCTCTACTGAATTATTCTTTAGTCAGAGCATGTAAATCTTTGCATAAAATGATTTCATTTCAAAACGGGAATTATGATACAATAAAATAATTTCCTCACTGATACTTTTAAATGTAAAGAGTGACAGAACTCTTTTTAGGAGCCTGAATATGATGCTGTATTGATATGCTGCTGGGTGCATTTTTATTCTACCAAATGAATAATATATGCTAAAAGATTAGAGGTTGTCCAGGGTTTGGGGGGAAAATCTGAAATTTGGAGCAAAATCCATCCCATCCCATAACCCCAAATAATTGGGATGATATATAAAGGACTCTGCTGGAGAAGGCTCGATTGTATTCAGCTACTCCTTTATCTACAGGAAGGCCACAGGATTGCAAACAGGTCATGGAACTGGGTACTGGGGGTGCTGCCACATGCTCTAGCTTAAAATGATTCTGTCATATTCAGGGTTTATAGTTAGACTGAGTAGATTTCTGTACCCTCACTGTACAAATTGTTGTAGCACCCCTGGATTCAAAGCACCTCTTCTGTGACGGTTCTTCCAACCTATGGACTGCATCTGTGGCAGTTGTATTCGGGCAACTAGTTCAATGTAAAGACAAATCTAGTGGCTCCTCTTCTGGCTTGCTCCCATGGCCTCTTTGGGGCTGGTACAGAAAATGTTTCCACTGCCTACAACTCTTCATTGGCAACATGGGGTGAAATCCTGTCTTCATAGGTCCAGGGTTTCATCCAGGGGTCTTGAGTAATAAGGAGGGCCTTATGTGGATCCTCCATACTTGGGTTCATTCCATGGTTTTTTTTTTTTTTTTTTTTTTTTTCCCCAATAAGTGTTCGGCATGAAGAAAATAGTAGAAGTTAATTTCCTATTTACAATGTTGCTTATGAAACTCAAAGCCTTTTTTACATTCACAGCAACAGTCGAAGCTTTTATTTTATTTTAAAATAGGACCTACTTAAGAAATGCTATTCTGCAAAGGCTTCCTACCTTTTCCAGCAAGACAAGTTCTATGATGTCAGCTATGACACTGGAGACAAGTCTATCCAGTGTAGCAGACGACCAGATGCATTTAAATTCTGGATGACATGGAAGGCATTGGGAACTGCAGGACTCGAGGAAAGAGTAAACAGAGCACTTGCCTTAGCCAGGTACCTGAACTCAAATTTGAATGTTTTTTATTTGTTTGTTTTGCTTGACTGTCGCTTCCAGACCAATGTCGCAATGCAATGCCTAACCTGAAATCAGTTGAACCTTTGCATCTTTAAAATGATCTAATAATAATTGATATTGGATGCATAAAATGAAGTTCAAGGTTCAAATTAAAGGGAAATCATCAATCTGCATGAGGCCTACATTTGATTTCCTGGAAACTGATGTGGTCCAGTGAAGAAACTCTTTTTATTTCAGATATCTAATTTAGAATCAAAGCTACTGTTTTTCATTAATACCAAAACAGCATGGGCCAGAGTCTGCACTGCTTCTAGCTGGAAGTGAATTTATTATTCTCTTCCTGCCCCTTTTCATGCCCCATGCCATGCACCGTGTATCCTGGGAAAATTCCTGGGACCACAGTGACCCTTTTATTGCTCTTTTATGCCACTACATTGGTGGTAGCATCTGTAGGAGTGTGGATTCCATCTTCCCTCTCCCCAAACAAGAAACTCTCCCTGGTGCATCAAGGTTTTTTTGTGTAAGGTGCCATCATTTTTAATGTGTGTTTGTATCTGTGGCTTTTCTCATTGAAGTGGCCAAAAAATCCCACATGTGGCCACATATCTTGGTATCATTGACCATCTTGCAAGGCTCACGGGAAAAACAAGTCTATTTGCAGATTATTTCCAGAGTATTGGGCCATTAAGTTCCTTGAATGCTACTAATGACCCTTACTTAGCATGACTTACATTTGTGATGTGGGTTTATATTTCATATTTCTAAATTGAAATACAGGAATGATGCATACAAATATATTCATGGGATAATCACGTTCAGTAGATTTCAAGCTTTCCAATGATATCTTACTTGAAATATTTTCCATAACACATATTCTGGTTATTTTCATAAGCATATTTCTATATTGGAATGACCTGTGACCCATCCTCCAGGTGCACTTCCAAGATGGTGTTCTCAGAGGCCCTGGGAGGATAATTATTTATATGGGTTATTTTGCATGGCAGAGTAATACCCTAGTGTTTACAGTGGTGCAAGTTAAAGGGACAGCTCTTTGAAAGCTTCCTTCCATTCCATTCTAGGTGTGTGTACTTGCCACATGCACCGGTACTGGAAGTTTTCCCCTTAATGCGACGAGGAGTCCTGTGGCACCTTATAGACTAACTGAAGCGTAGGAGCATAAGCTTTCGTGGGCAAAGACCCACTTCGTCAGATGCATGCATACATGCATCTGACGAAGTGGGTCTTTGCCCACGAAAGCTTATGCTCCTACACTTCAGTTAGTCTATAAGGTGCCACAGGACTCCTCGTCGCTTTTGCAGATTCAGACTAACACGGCTACCCCTCTGATACTTTTCCCTTTAATGGTCTCCATAGGACATTAGCTCTGGCGCCCTCTGGAGTGGCATGCATATGCTGTAGTATAAAGGGTGCTGCTGGTTCCTCCAAACCTCAGTTCCTTCTTACCACAAGTGATGGTCCTGGAATTGCTCGGGGCCTTAGAAGGTGTTGAAAGAGCTGGTCCCCTATGGATACTACTAAGGGAAAAACTCTGACATAGATGCCCGATGGACATGAGCAACACATCTAGAAGTTACAAAAAAGAGAGAACTGTCTTTTCCTCTTCAGTGCTTTCACATAAAAAGTTCAAACATTAACTGCCTAAAAATATATGCATTACATAGTAAAAAGGTGGCACTAGTGAGAATTTATTGAAGACTAAATCTGTCGTCATAATTCTGCTTCTTAAATGTCCCTAGTGTCTTCTGAGTAAATTGCAGTCTTGCATGTATTTCAAGGTCCTCTGTTTATTAATGTACACACAGTGTGTCAGTTCCTTCTGCTATCTGTAGAAAGATTCAGCCACATCAAGGTCACTAGTGCAGATCATCTGACTGAGAATGTACACGTTAATGGTGGGATCAATACCCGCTTTGATAGTTAGATTTTAGCTAGTGGTGGATTTAACTGACAGTGTGGGCATTTTTTGTTTTATTTGTAATGAAATTGCATTAATCAGAAAACTAGTAGTGATATTCTGTACAGTAGCTGCTTTGCTCTCTTGACTTTGCATGGGCACAGACACTTGGTAGCTGAGACATCATTTTCCCTAGGCACGAAGCCAGACTTCTTACTACAGGAACAGCTATGCAGCCTTTTTCTTGTTTTGTTACAGGAGGGTTTGCTTTGATGCTGTGGAGATGATATTTTAGTGTTCCTGATAACATGGATTAATTCTAGAGCTAGTTCATCGACCTTATATTTGAAGGCAAGGATTTTCCACTGCCAGGAAGAGTTGCAAAGATATATATTAATCTCATTATAATACTGAATTTCTTTTGCATCAAATGCTGCTCATTGGTGATGTCATTGATTTCTTCTTTTTTTAGACGTGAATCATGTTTTCATGGCATTGGATTAGATTAGTGTTTACTTGAAATGACTTATTTTTTAAATAATTGTGATGGAGTGCTCAACTGATCAGTTTGGAGATTATTTTGTTCTCATTTAATACTGGTATCAAAGAATTATATTCCCTTATTTCCTATTGCTTTATGACGTAAGCTGCATTTTAGAGTAATATGTCATAAGACTGTGATCATATCTGCACGTTGTGTTAGACCAGCTGTGTCTAACCCACGGCTCAGAAGCCGCGTGCAGCTCTTGTCCCCCAAAAGTGCGGCTCGTGAAGCTGCTCCTGCCCCTCCCCCAAAGGATCCCTGCACCCCTACTCCAAGCTCCCCCTCTTGGCTTCCTCTTGGGAATTCAAAATGGTGCCCATTGACGGGAGCCTGATATGGCCAAAAAGTCCATTTGTTTCTTAAAGGGGCACCATTTGTTTCTTAAAGGCCTAGCGACGGCCACTCAAGGGGGCTGTGTTCATACACCAACAGGCAAATCCCCTCTGTTGCTGTAGGCAGCATCTACACCACTCAGTAATGCTGGTGTAGCTGTAGTGCTGTTGCTATGCCACTGTAGCACCCAGACAGGCCTCAGAGTGACTTTTTCAATTTGGTTTCAGTAGATTAGTCACAGGGTTAGTGGAACTGAAATAAGCCAATCTTAAACCTCCCCCCTCCCCAAAAGAAGTCTCACTGGCTTAATTAAATCCTTTTAAAACTTGATTTAAATGAAACTGGAAAGGCCAGTTCCTTTCCAACAGTCACTTTGCAGAGGCCATGCTGTTTCTCCCTCCAGTGTTTACTCCCCTTTGGTGGCAGGAGGGCAGTCGACGGGAGAAGGGGCTGTCTCCATTCTGGCTACGGCAGCACAGCTGCAGCCACATAATGGCAGGGTTTGCTCCGCTCCCCCACTGGGTTGGCAGGATGCTCTTCTGTGGCGTCTCAGCGCTGCTCTGCTTCTCCCCTCTACAAACTAGCCACCCAGCAGGATGCCAGCTACAGACTAAGCCTGTCCCCAGCAGCAACTCTTCTGCTTTGCCCCAACCCATGCCAAAGATGCAAGTGTGAGGAAGCTGGCACTGGTGGGCATCCAGAAAGGAGGTATTGGGGGGTGGTTCTAAGCCTCAGGGTTATGCTGAAGGGGGCACAGCAACGGACAAGCCTGGGAGCTAGACTAGGACATGCAGGAGTTGGGGAAGGGGCTAACAGGAAAGGCCAGGGGACACAGGCTTGGAGGGGGCCCAGAGCAGAAGGGTTAGTGGAGAGAAAAGATGTTTATGGGACACCGGGGAGGGCATGGTAGAAGGGCAAGTGAGGTGAAAAACATCTTTGTTATTGTTTTTGCTTGACAATTCTGGTGCATCTCTTTGCATTTTTTCCGCTGCTGTTTTGGCTTTCTTTGTTAAATTGGTTGGCCACGCCTGTGCTAGACCATCATTTCTACAGTTTGTCATCTCTGATTCCTTTTCTCAAGGCATCCTTCTTCCTGACACCCAGTTTTATTCCCTACTAGCTATCCCTCATTTGCTGCAATGCTTGTAATTTCAAATACTTCTTGTTCGTTCTGCTTTGTTATGATGTTGTTGAACTACGACTCCACCCCATCTGTGATTAGTCAGGGGCTAATAATACGGTTGCACTGTGAGCTGTGTAAAAATGTAGTGAGAAAATTACACCACTGGTGCTGAATGGACCGGACATTAGAAATCAAGAATGAGGGATTTTCAAATTGCTGCCTTTTTTTGGCCATGGACAGTGGTCAGAGAAACATCAATTGCAGTCAGTCACACACCATTTTTAATCTTGTTTCAGTGGTGGTTTAAAAAAAAGAAAAAGAAAGCTCTAGCCAGGGAGAGAGAGCTGTTTTGCAGTGCTATCATGCTAACACTATTTTAACATTGCTACCATCTTTCCAAAACAAGGCGATCTCATTTTAGGTAATCAAAAAAAGGGACGTATTGTATTTTTGCGTGAAGTTTTGTTTTAAATGAATGAGGGAACTCACTTGTTTCCTAGCCATACCACAATAAAATCAATCTAATCATTGGCACAATAATTATAAAACACCCTTTTTATTCTGTGCTTAGCTTTGTTGACCTGAGTTGTTTTTGTGGTTGCTCATGGTGGCCAGGTTGCATGCTATAATGCTAATGGCAACTGCTGATCTAAATGGATGTTGCAAAAGGGATTCAGTGCTGGCTTTGTTTTGGTAAAATGGGTGGAAGCATCTCAGAAGCATGTAGTTAGAGGCAGAATTCAGATCTGGCATCAGCTCTCTACCATGGCAATCAGGCTTATATGCATATACACTAAGGGTAATGAGTCACATGTAGAAGTCTTGTTAACCATAAACAACACGGCAACTCCCCATGCTCTGCTTTGAAAAAATGCCTGCTCTCTAAGGCATTATTTATTGAGCCCCTGGATAAACAATTTCTACAGGATCTCAGCTAACGTGTCAGGCTGTGACAAGGAAGCTGTGTTAGTGATGCCCATATAGGGACTTTTCCCTGGCATATATACAGGGTCCAAAGCTGGTGTTTTGACAGATTTCTTCCTCCTTCTATTTGTGTTCATTGTATGTGGCAATAACCAGTTAAAGCAATTGCAAGCAGAAAAAGGCCTACGTATCACAACAAACTGACAGATTTATTGAAATATTCCTAGATCCTGGCCAAAATCTTGACAAAAGGACTTTTATGGGGTCTGATGGTGCTGACTGCACACACAGACTCATGCTGGCATTACTAATTTGCAGTTGCTGACAGAACAAACAGGAGGTAAATAAATTTAGTAAATGCAGTAGGTAGCTAGACGTATGGAATATTGCTGAGTGTGGAGTGGGGTGCAGCGATTAACAACAACACAGTTCCACAGGAACAATGTTCTCTTAAACTCCTGTACAGTAACCTAGCAGATAGGAGTATGCAACTACTTCATTCACAGCAAGGGCCACATGCAACCCCTTATATAATGCCTTTACTGAATGACTACACTAAAGAGCTTACAGCTGGTGTAAGCTTTCTCGTGTAACCTCTCTAAGTTGATGGGCGAGCTCTTTCATGTCAGTTTCATTAATCTACCCCCAACAGGTCACAGCATCTATGCTGGCAGGTGCGCTTCTCCCACCAACATGGGGCTGTCAGTGCTGGTGCTTAGGTCAGTGTGGCTTATGTTGTGTGGTTGGTGGCTTATTCACACCTCTGATTGACATAGGTTAAGCCAACATAAATGGCAGTATAGATATAGCCTCAGAAGCAATTAAATAGGCCTGACAAGGATTTGGCTGCAACCTTTGCAGCTGGGGCCATGCCTGCAAATTGTCAGATGTAATTACGTTGTGTGAATATGGCAACATACAGTTACCATAGTACCCAGTTTATCTGAGACTCCATTATCCAACTCCCCTTGTTTAACCAAACCCCCGAGCGCGCACACAGTCATGGGAAATCGACATCGCTTCCATCGTAGTGTTGCCATGCCACTTTTTCAATCTTGTAAAATGATTGACACTACTAAATGAAAACATTCAGTACTGTCCTCGGATGCTAAATTAGAGATTATTAATAAAATAAAAAAGAAGGGTCACTAGCAGAAATAGCCCAATTTATAACATTGGGAAAAGAACAGGATTGGACATCAAACATGGTGCAGAGCAAATATTTCAATATAGAGTAGTATGAATAATTCAGTCACTCTGCGTACTAAAAGACCATGAAGCAACTGAAGGGGTCTAGATGAAGCCTTTTATCTGTGGTTTATACAGGCAAGAGAGGAAGGAATTCCTATTACTATGCAAGAATTCTTTTACTATGCAAGAAGGGTAAAGGCTTTAATCAAGTTTTATGAGGGGACACATGTTTCTCTGCTAAACAGCGACAGCTCAGTCACAACATCTAAAAAGTGTCACATCTGACAACTAACAATCACTGGGGAAAAGCCGTCTGCTGATTCAGGAATTATTTCTGAGTAACAGTAAGAAATAGCAAGTGTCTTAGCTGAGCACAACTGGTCACTAGGGCAAGTTCACAACAATGACAGGAGTTGTTGCCAGAACGGAAAGATTTGCAGCTGTCTACATTAAGAGCCAAGAATGCTGGACAGTCGTGGCCTATGCTAATTCTAGTGGCGCACATGCGTTCCTGTTAACAGTCTTTGGTAAAGCAGTGAATCCACATACACTTAAAAATGCAAATATAAATACTTTGCTCTTCATCTCCATATCACAAGAAAAAGCATAGATGAACAGTGTTTTATTTTGTGATTGGTTTTTAAAACTTTTGTACCAAACATGTGAGCTCATCTGAACAAAAACATCTCACCAAAAGCTGTCTTAGAGCTAAACAAGGCACCTGCACACCCTGATGAGAGAAGACTCAAGATCATCCAATATTCAGGAGAGTGTGTGTGTTTCTCCCTCATTTGTGCAGTCTTGTGTACAGCCTTGTGTTGGAAAGTCTAAAAGAACACTATAAACAGGATCTTTTTACATGACAATTGATGTTTGGTGAAGCAGTTGAGAATGAAGGCAATATGTTGCAGTGCTGGAAAAAATCAATATCAAAGAAGCTATATTCAGGGTTGCAGAAGCATGGGAAGGACATCCACAGGTCAGCCTTACAAAAATCATGAAAATCTGTGGCCTGAATTATTATTGGTCCTTTATTATTGGTCCTTAAAATAGTTAACTTGCAGCTGCCACAACAGCATTGGCATCTGAAAAAGAGAGTGTATTTTTTAATCTCCACAGTCTTCCTGGCTATACAGAAGTTAACAAAGATATTGCAAATTGCCTTGAAAGTGATGCTAATGATCCTGGCTGGCTGTTACTGGATAGTGCTAAAATCATACAGACGGTAGTACATGCTGACAATGACGACAAAGCTGAAGAGTCTACTGAGGAAGAATTGATGGAAACATTTCTCACTGCGATGCTGCAATAGCAGAAAACTTTTCTCTTCAGTTCTTGGAGCAACAGTCGGACACCAACCCTACTGATGTGCTGTTTATGAAGCAGCTCCATGATGGCACAATGAAGAAAACTGCTCGTCTAAAACAATAGATTGTCAGATTTTTTTTCTGGTCATTATAAATGTCAGTGCTGCTGTATCTATCACTGTGCTATGTGTACTGTACTTTCTGCATATTACTTGTTACCACCACCATTAGTATTGTTATTACAACTTTAAATGATCAATTTCTGCATTTTAAAAAAACAGTATTCTTTACTAGAAAGAATGATTTTTGTATGCTGTAAATAAGAAAGGGGATTATATTTTAATGCTTTGTAATGATGACAATTTTCTGCATTTTTTTTAAATGTACTGCTTGTGATGTTATATGTACATAAGCTAAGTAGAGATGATACCTTGTGTAACATTGATCTATAAAATCTGCTTAATGTTTATTAACCTATTGGTCACAGGATGAGTTTAGGAGGTCACAAATAGAGGGCTGGTATTATAGCATGGCAGGGAGGGCTATTGCCTGGGGCTCATGCCACAAGGTAACCTAGGTTACATGCTTCAGCTCCAGGCAGCGGTTTGTCAGCTGTGGACAGTGGGGCTCGGGCTGATAGTTGTAATTTAAGATCTGATCCCCACCTGTAATATTCCAATAGCTTAAATTTTCTAGCAGTGATGTCTCAGGCAAGGCCTGACTCAAGTCACCTAGAGGAAAAATGGTTTTAAATGTTCCCTAAACCTGTTAGGTTTGTTCCTCCTAACTTGAGAAACTGCTCCTATTCTTTCCCCTAGAAAATCAAGTACTGAGTGACTTGATCCCACAAACTCCTCCTTATTACAGTTATGCTGATTCTGTAAAGGCCCAGAAACAATACCATATGACTAAGGTGACTACTTGCACAGCAGTAAGAATGAATAAAAAATCTAGGCAGTGAGCAACTTCGAAAGAGCTCATATGCAAAAAGATTTCACCCTGAATAGTTTGAACAATTATGAATAACAAATGAATCTTTGTGAATGATTTACAAACAGAATAAAGGCAGTAGGAAAACTTTGATAGAACCATATTGTATTGGAAAACACAGTTCCATTGAAATTCAAATATGTCACACATTTAGGCTGATTTTATCACAATTTTGTTTCAGTAGAAAAATGTGGGGAAAAAAGTTCAGGCAACAGTAAGAGAGGTCCCACTTCAACATTTTTGGAACCAAATATTTATATTTTTTGCATTGAAATGACTTTTAGTTTAATTTTTTCAACATTTTTGTATTGTAATACAAAATAGCCAGTGTTGCAAAGTTTTGATTTTATCTAAATGAAGTGTTTGGATTGACCCAAAGCAACTTTTTGCTAAGTAACCCTGTGCTAAGCCTCAGAAACGAGTCCCCCTGTGCCCAAACTCCTTCCAAGAGCTTGCAACCTGAATGCCCTCTTATACCCCAAATCCCCCACCCTGTGCTAAGCCCAGAGCCCCACCGATACTGCAAACCTCTTGGCCCACGCCCAGAGCCTGCACCCCTACCCCACCCTGGTGCAAGCGAGTGAGGATGATGGAGGTAAAGGGGGATGGAGTGAGCAGAGTGAGGCCTTGGAGAAGGATGGCACGGGGCAGGGCCTCAGAGAAGGGGCAGGAAGGAAGTGGGGCAAGGGTATTTGGGTTTGAGGTAAATCTTACATTGCACTTAAACTGAAAAAGTGATCTTGTGGTTAAAAAGGTTGGAGACCACTGGTATAACCACATTGTTCAGCAGAGGTGTGCAAAATCGATATCCATGAGAGATGCTGTTATACTGACCTAATGCCTAGTATAGACACCACTGTGTTGACAAGAGGGCTACACACAGCTACTGCTTCTCTGAGTGGTGGAGTAACTACACTGTTGATGTAGGTAGCATCTCCACTAAGCACTATAATGGCACAGCTGCCTTGCTGCAGCATTTTAAACAAACCCTCAGTGTTGAAAGAGGGAGCTGTATTAATGGATTAGTGCAGCTCACAATTCTAATAGCGAGAGGCCCAATTTCTTCTGCTGCTGAAAGCAGACAGCTTTTGGTGTACATCATCAATTCACTACTCGGCTTGTCTTCACTTATTTTCTGAAGCTGGTTATCCCATTAATTGTTGTATTTTTACAGCAGGTAGAAACTATTTTAAGCTCTGCTATTCTTAAAACTACCTAAACATGTTCAAGTCAATTTTTTGCTACCTGCATATCCTTTGTTACATCTTGTAAACGTTGTATGTTTAATTGCAGCTATCTGGTGGGTGAAATTAAGAAAAGAGAGGGATTCCAGCTTCTGTTGGAGGTAGGTGTCTATAGAACTGAGTTTGTGCTTTTGTCAAATGCCAGTCTATATTTTGAGTGCATATTTAAATAAACTTGGTAAATTGCTGATGTACGGAAGTGTTAAACCACATAAAACTGTCCATATTTCACACAATCTGTCTGTCCATTTCACTTGCTTTCTGGGGTTGTGTAGTCATTGGGGCCTATGACTTGAGTAATCCCCTTGTATAGCAATGGATAGGGTTGCAAAAGGACAACCTATAGTAAAAAGCTGTGGCTAAGAACTAGAACTGGTTGGAGATTTTCAGTTAAAACTTCTGTCCTAAAGGTGGACTCTCCTTCATTAGAATGAATGAACTGCCCCACCTTACTCCCTCCACCCCACCATTTTCAACTCCACTCCCAAATCATCAGTGCAGAACAACTGCCACTTTTCCAACCAGCTCTACTGATAACTCTCTTCTTCCCCCACACCTCCAAACAACTCCACAGCAATGTACATTGATGAAGATCCTGTTTCCAGAGAATATTCTGAGCAGGAGGGGTCTCAGCTCCTGCCCTTGCTCAGCTCTTTGACCAATAAAATCAGCAGCTGGGGACATCTTGGAGGGGAGTCTATTTAGAGGAACCTCCAGAAAATAGTAATAGAGATGTAGCCGTGTTAGTCTGGTCTTGCTGAAACAAAAGACAGGACTATGCAGCACTTTAAAGACTAACATGATGGTTTATTATGTGATGAGCTTTCGTAGGCCAGACCCACTTCCTCAGATCAAATTGTGGAAGAAAATTGGCATGACCATATATACCAAAGGGATACATTCAAAAAAAAGTGAACACCATATAAAATTGACAAATCAGATTTTAGAATGGAGGGAGCTGAGGGAGAGAGGTTAGGGTCTTAGGAGTGATAATTGGGGAAGCTATCTGTGTAATGGGTAAGGTAGTTAGCATCTTTAAGGCCCATTTGTAAAGTGTCAAATTTAAGCATGAATGACAGTTCTGAGGTTTCCCTTTGTAGTCTGGTGTTAAAGTCTCTTTGAAGTAATATACATATAGTGAGGTCATTGAGACAATGCCCAGTCATCTGATTGAAATGACAAGAAACTGTTTTTTCTTTGTGAAACTGTCTGATGTCTGATTTGTGGGCATTAATTCTTTGGCGAAGTGTCTGAGAAGTTTGTCTAATATACATAGCAGACGGACATTGTTGGCACTTGATGGCATAAATTATATTTCTGGACAAACAGGAATACGTGTTCTTGATCTTGTAACTGATGTGTTTAGGTCCAGTGATGGTGTCAGCAGACAAACTTCTCAGACACTTCACCATGGTCTTATGGTTATGCCAATTTTCTTCCACAGTTTGATCTGAGGAAGTGGGTCTGGCCCACGAAAGCTCATCACCTAATAAACTATCTTGTTAGTCTTTAAAGTGCTGCATAGTCCTGTATTTTGTTCCTTCAGAGAATGTGTGTGTGTGTAAGTGAAGAACAGCAAGGAGAAAAGGAGCAAAGTAGACAGGGAGATGGCGAATAATAGAGTGGCAGAAGCACAGGGGGGAGAAAAAAGGCAGGAGGCAGGAGGGGAAGCAGACACGTGATGAGTGATGGCATGTAAAGAGAATTAAAAGACCAGAAGTGAATTGTTTAAAATTTAAATGTTGTTTATACTCATGTTTCTTTGTGCTGATATTCCCCCCCCCTCCCCCCATTAACTATCATGATTGGAGTGGAAGAAACTCAAATCATATTTTTCCCCAGTAAACTTCTAATTTGGAAAGAGAACAGGGGAAGATTATCCTGGGTAAGAAGGGGTGCTGGGAAGATTTTATGGCTTGTCTCAAGCCTGTTTGAGTGGTAAGGTTCTCTGGAATCTGAGTGGGACTTGCATGGGTAGGACTTGCAGGCTACATCTACACGACAGGGTTTTTGTGCAAAAACAGCTGTTCTTGCGCAAAAACCTGTGGAGCATCCACGCCTCAAGTGCTTTTTTGCTCAAGTAAATTTACAATAAATCAAAAGAACAGAAGGGTTTTTGAGGTGTAGGTATTCCTCTTTCTACGAGGAATACCTCCTTTTTGCGCAAGAGTTCTTGTGCAAAAAGGTGTGTATGGACGCACAACAGGGGAGTTTTGTGCAAAAAGACCCTATCGAGAAAAGCACAGGTGATGTGGTGGCTAATCTGTTAATAGCGATCAGAGCTTTCTTTCAGGAGAGTGTCCATGCAGTCTGGATGCGCTCTCACACAAAAGCACATTGCTTTTTCGATGTGCTTTTGTAGTGTGGACGTGCTCTTGTGCAAGAAGTTTTTGCGGAAGATCTCCCACAAAAAGCTTCTTGAACAAGAAGCCTGCAGTGTAGACATAGCTGCGGAAACTAGCCCAGGAGGAGCTATGAGAAGGAGGAATGGACGGGGAGAGGCCTATGGGCATGTAGAACAGTAAGACCCTTATAGAGGGATAAGCTGCCCATTTGGGAAAAGGCTGCTAATGACCCTGAAGTCAATCCTGCAACAAGGGTGAAGGTTTGGGTTTATGCAGGTCAGATGACAGACTTTGGGTCCTGGGCAAGGTAGAGGGCTTGGGGTGACTCTAGGCCCCTGGAAAGGGCAGAGCCTTGGGCAGAAGGGGCAGAACTGGGGGTAGCCTCCCCAGTCAACCCTTCAACACTGCTCTGGGCTCCAGCGGTAACTTAAAGGACATGAGGCTTTGACCGCTGCCATTGCTGCTGTAGCAGTGGCTGGTAGCCTGGTGCACTTTTAAATCTCTGGGCCCCAGGGCAGCAGTCCCCTATTGTCCCCTCCCCCATTGGCGGGTCTGGGCTTGTGCAAGGAAGCCCATGAAGGAAATAACCTGGGGAAAAGAGTGTAAGGGCAGGATTGGGCAACTGCTTATTGTTTAGAGGCCTCAGGCTGGGACTTCTAAAGAAGGTGGGAGAAAAGTTTCCCTTCCACTGGGATAAGTGCTCTGGTGTCTGAGGGAGATTCTGGAATCTGCATGAAAAATGGCTTAGTGGAGCCAGTATTTCTTGGACTTCTGTTGAATCTGGAAAAGGTAGTTTTGTCTTCGCAGAGACAAAGGGTTAACTTATCTAATGAATGAAGGGAAACTGAGGCATGGCTGCATCTGATAAAAGAAAAATAAGCCATGTGGCTGCATGCATGTACCCTTTGCCCTGAAACAGAATTGTGATTGACACCCCATTTTAGTCAATTAGAGCTTCACCTCGCAAGGAAACTCTCCAGGGCTTGACCCCATTCTTGTTAGAGAAATATGGGACTTAGAGCTGAACTTCATTTAATTCTTTGGCAGCAGATGGCAAATCTGCTGATCTCGTCCTGCTGATAATGATATTCTCCTTGCTGTTCACAGACTGTGTTAAATGCAGTTGAAAGTGAAGCAGCAAATATAAATAGTTCCCAGTGCCCTTTCATGAAAGAATTTGGCACAGTGTAGGTAATCTCCATACACTTGGGAGGAGGTCTAGAACTATTAGCAGTGTTTGCATTAAGGCAGAATGATGGTGTGAGTTAGCTGTCTTCTTCCCTAGTCAACATTTGTCCCTACTTTTTCAGCCAGCATCAATGGGAGCTGTGGGTATTGTAGGATATAGTAAGGGCGAGGTATGTTATAATCCTATCCATCCTTTGTCCCACTCTTGAAGAGCATTAACTTGCAAAGATGTGGCAAGTCACCGTTAAGGAGGTGAAGTTTTTCAGGGAGCACTGAGATGTATTAACTGTTTCTTTAGGTGCTATGCATCCTTCATTTGTCCCGAAAGTGACTGGGTTGACTCTATAGTGGCCCATTAGAAACATTTGTGAACCCTATATGCAGAAACCGCATAAATATGAAATGTTCTAATTCTAACCGACTCTGAATGGTCATTCTTGTCATTGGGAGACTCACAGCGAGCTCTAAATTGAGCATAAAATCTAAGAGAGATTTTCTGGAGCAGAGTGAAGAAGTGGAGTCTTTGTTCCCAAGTCATGTTCAGGAATTTGGAGAGAATATCTCCTGGACAGGACATGTGCATCACCCCAAGGAGTTTGGGACTCTCTTTAAAATGGAGGGACTGGAATTCAGGCATCAGGTCCATCATTATATAGTATGAGTACCAAATGTTGAAAAAAAATTGCCATAGAAAGAGTTTTTGTTGAATAATAGGGTCTTCTGAAACCAAATGCTTGTGATTTTTGTGGTGTTGTTGATGAAATAGCATTTTTTTTTATTTTAAATGAAAAAAATTAAGAAAAAAAATCAATATTTAAAATTTTAATTTTGAAATTGTGCCAAAATGCCCATCTCTCTCTGCTTCCCTTCCCCCTTCCTTTTTCCCACTGGAAAACGAAGATAGGTTATGTGTGAATATGTGTATAAAAACTTAAAGACTACCTTTCCTTTCCACTGTGGAGTGGAGGAGAAGAGCAATGGTGAGCATAGGGCTTGGAGAGGAGTAAACAGAATGAAAAAGTCAGTGTTTTGAGGGGTTTTTTAAACATGGCTTCAAAACAAAAACCCCTTCAACACATTTTTTTGACAAAACATTGTCAAAAATGCTTTCACTGAAAATTGTCACAAAACTTGTTGATTCGCTATGATAATGTAACATAAATGTGAGAGAAATAACCAGTTCTTTTCTATTCTTACTCAGCCAGAGTATGCAAACATTTGCTTTTGGTACATTCCACCAAGCTTAAGAAAAACAGAGGAAGGACCTGAGTTCTGGGAGAAGCTCCATCAGGTGAGTAGTACATGTATGGCTTGCTAGTTTATTATGAATATCCCTTCTTCCAGGGTATAAAGAGAAATAGGGTCAGGATGTGCCCACCATTAACCCATCAATACAATGTAATTTTAATCCTTAGCTTGATGTTAGTAGGATTTCTAAGTTTATTATACTCTCTCTTTAGACGAGGCTAATTAAGTTTCTTTCTTCTTAAGGTAACAGAAGCAGACATTATGCAGATATTCAGGTTGCTATCAAAACTGTAGCCAGACAGAGGAACTGAGAGAAGAGGAACAGTATTGTCTGTGTCTTTTGTCTAGACGGTGCATTCATTACCTATTTCAGACACCGATTGTCCTTGGGACTTGTCTGGTGTTATCAGTGGATCATGTAAGGGAAGGTGTGCTTACGAATACATTTCTGATGCTAGGCAACCCATAAAAGGAAGTAGGAATAGAATGGGAAAAAAGTAATGGTGAGCCTTTTGGTAAATTTTGTCACTCTTGTGGAAAATTACTAACATTTTGAAAGAACTAAATACTTTGATGGGAATAAATTAACTACAGAGTAGCCCACAGTTAAGATAAATTAGGCCTTGTCAATAGTGGCACATTTTATCACCAAAAACTGCCTTTTGGCAACAAAACAGTGAGAGTGTTTATACTACAATGCAACTTTTGTCAGGAAAAACTACCCAGTTTTGGAAACAAAAAACTTCCAGCCCTGAGAGAGACTTTTGTCTTTTCTCCTCCCTTTATTGTTGACAAAGAGCCAGTGTAGATTCTGCTGTTTGTTTTGTCGAGAGAACTGGCTTCCGCCAGTATCCCACAATGCCTTCCCTGACAGCTATGCTCAGTGTTTTGTGATTTCTGCTGCCCTGCAGGCATGCACCCCTCCTCTTTTAGAGCTCCCGGAAGTATTTGTCAGCTGAGTGAGCTGCTCTTTTTGAGGACCAAAGAGCAAATCATTGGAATGCCTCCATTCTGTCTTGCACTAGGAGCACAGCAGCAGGCAGACTGCTCCTGCAGGAGGAGGGCTAGAGTGACTGCTATGCTGCTTTGACATTCCTCAGCATGGAGAGCTCACAGAGCTACGAGGGAATCCCAAGAAGCACAAGGATCAACTCTGCCTTCCCACAACAGTGCACTGTGGAATGCTTACCCACAGTGCTTTTTTTGTAAGAAAAAAGGTGCCAGTACTCCAGGCTCAAAGTTGTTGAGCAAAGAAAAAAAAAAAAAAAAGGCTGTGCCACGGGCTAAAATGCAATCGCAGCCCCTTTAAGAGCCATATGTCCCGGGCAAGCTTCTTTCTGGAGCCAAGCCACCCCCAGAAATAGGTTCTGGTACGCCAGAGGGGAGTCCCATTCAGTTCCATGAAGATGGGAAAATAGGTGCCGGTACACTGTCCCAGGGCATACCATCACAAAAAAAGCACTGCTTACCCATATTGGTTTGCTCTATCTGTCAACAGGGGAGCTAGCAATGTGGCTATGAAATGTTGACAATGGGAGGCAGAAAAACAATTTGATCAGTTTTCATTTTTGCATTTTGACAGCACTTTTGTTGCCAAACCTTCCCAGTGTAGACATAGCTCTAGAAAAGTAATGGAAATTGAAATTTGTGTATTATTGACTAAAAAACTCTGCAACAAAGTGAGCCATGCCTATTGTATGATCACCTTATAGTGTGTGGCTTGTTCTGCTCTTCTTTTTTACACGTTAATGAGGCAGTAGAAATTGAAGGTGGGGTGAGGATATGTAAATCCTAGACACACAGCTAGGAAGTCTTTTTGCAGAGCCCAGCTGTTCTCCCAGTAGTGCTCATGGCATAAAAAGATCCCTTTTGAATTAAACCAGGGTACATCTGTCTTTTGGGATGAGATCTTCTCTTTCCCAAGTGTTGTATTGTAAAAAAATTATTTATTACCTAATATTTATACAAGTCCCATAGGGAAAAATGGGCGAGTTACGCAGCTGGTGTACACCAGCAGAGCTCCATTGCTGCAGCGGAGCTATGCTGTTTTACATCGGCTGAGAATCTGGCCCTTGGTCCCTGCACAAAGAAGCTTATAACGAACATTAGGGAGTCTATGGCCTCAGGCAAGGTGGGGAGAAAAGAGAGATTTCCATATTCTACACTGCAAGATGCTGCACATATTGGGTCAAATCATGATGACCCATTATCGCAAGATGCTTCCTTTCTCCTCCATACAAAACTGTCAGTGACCTCTCACTGTAATAGTGCCTGTGCACCTCATGGAGCGAGAGGCTGAAAACAGGGCAGGGAAGAGTCTAGAAGATCCCCCCCACACCTATTTCTTTGTGCTTGTGTAGCAGGGCTGGGGCACCAAGGAAGTGGAAGGGACAGAGTGAGCATCTTATGGCACCTGGACAAGACCAAGTGGAGTAAATGCCTTCTTGAGTGTCTCCAGCATCAAACACCACATGGCATTGCTGTGATACAAATACCACAACATATCCCATTCTGCTAGCTTTGTTCAGTTAGCTTTTATAAGGTTGGCATGGGACTGTGGATCTTGGCAGAAGGTGTGTTGTAAGAAAGGATTTTAAAAGGGAAAGGGAGTTTATGTTCAAACCAGAGAAGAGTGGTTTCTTTCACCTTTCCAAAAATCCTGGAGTAGTTCTGCAGTTATTTCACTTCTCCATCCCCAACACTGGGAAGCCAGACATACAAAACAAAGTCCAGTAATGACTCACGCTGAGAGAGAGACAGACAGGCACAGGAAATCTTTCAGACTATAGCTGAAAGATTTAAACATCTGGCGATTAGTGTCTTTAACATCAGTATAATTTGTTTACACAATTCAACATTGCTGATTTAAATAATGTACAGTAATTAATCTCAAAATCAGTAATAATTGAATTAGTAAAAAGGTGGAAGAAAAGAGGGTATGGAGCGCAGTCATACCTACATAACTGAAGATTTAAGAGACTTGTTGCACCATGTCATCTTTATTCAGTGTGAGGATGCATACGATTTTCTTCTTAACTGCTGGCACTTCCTGAATAGCCTCATTATTTCACTAAAATGAGCATTAAAAAATTAATTTACAGTATGTCTTTTCATACCATTCCTAAACTCAGTAATTATTCCATTTAGACAAAGACCAGTCATCTACTTTTTGATGATCTGCAAGACTGTGAATAATTAAGTGAGGATGTATTTTAGAAATTCCTTGCACAGTTCATTGATTTATTACAGTGCATATTCAGTGAGCTCAGAATAATACACTATTTTCTATGCCTCTCCTGGTTGATTCCCTATTCTACTGGCCCATTGGAATCTGTTCTCAGAAGATAATATGGGCCATAATTTTATGTATTCCCGTATGATATTTTATTCCAGTGCAGAGGACCAATGGAACATACTAGATGACACAAAAGCCCATAAAGCTGGGTTTAAGTGATATAATTGATTTTGTTGTGTGTCCTTTACATTGGGGTGAGTTTCATCTTTACCGTGTTTCTATATAATATGTTAGTCAGAGCATCACATTCCTGTGACATTAGTATGGCTTCTATATAGAATTATTTTAGTTCTCATACTGGCTTTTCAATCTGAGAGCTTGTTTGGATTTTGCCTTTTTGTGTTTGGATGCTATCCTTTATTGGATTTCTGGTCAAATTTGATTATAGTTGAACAATCAGAAGGCAAAGCATTCTATGAGGGTAAGAAACTTTTTCCTGCACTCCTCCTATGCAACTGTGCTATAAAACCTTAACCTTACTGTATCATTTCCCCCTTTATCTAGACTAACTCCTTCCCCACTCCTACCTGCCTTTAGAGAAAAACAGGTTACAGTGGACAGGTAGTTTTGTAAAAGAGATTGTCACATATGAAGTGTCCTCGTACATATATAGAATGAGAAGCTGTCCATCAATGCATAAAAGTCAGAGGGTTGAAATAAGGTTGCCTTAGCAGCTTCCTACTCTTACAGTATGTAACCTGCACACCTACTGGTTGTGGTTTGCTATCCCATATAGTGGCACTTAGACGACTTAGAGAGAGAGAGAGAATGAGTGTACTCCATAGCCTTAGCTGAGTGCCAACTGGCTTTATAGCTTAAGCTCTAGAGGCTCATGCACTAAGCTCTAGAGGTCCTAGGTTTGGTTCTGCCCATTGGAACTAAAGTACTAATCAAATACAAATCAGGGACCCAGTTCTGCACACCTAAAATACCCATTGACTGCAATAGGAGCTTTGAGTGTGCAAGAAATGCAAGACTAGCATAATCTGGATGACTAGTATTTGCCACATCATTAGTTATCTGAGGACAGTAGCAATAGCACAGTTAGCAAAGGGCCCATTGGTATCACTTTTAGTTTCCCTCTTCCTCATTAAGAAATTTGACTTTAAAAATGTGTACTTTGGGAGAGTATGTGTTCCTGTTTTGAATCTGTAAACCCTTGCTTACACAAGCAATTTGTAATCTCAGTAGTCTTGTGTGTTGTTGAATCAGAGTCCGTGTAAGCCAAAGAGTCCCCATATAGGGTGGACTGTATGTGAATATGCTGCTCCCATTAAATAAGTGGAGAGTTTTACAATGAAATTCATGGGAGTTGCCTTGGCTCAGTAGTCATAGTTGTGATGCACTGGAAGTTGCTCTGTAGCAATCTATAAATACGGTTTGTCGAGGTGCTTTCTGTACAATTATATTATTTTAATGCATCTGTAGAATGCCAGCAAAAACAGGTAGAAAGAGAAAGAATGGCTCAGGATTAGCCACCTCTCCATTTGAGAATTGTTAAGGGATAATGAATGCCAGGACTCATAGTCTACGTCTAGACTGCAAACCTCTTTTGAAAGAGGCTTTTTTGAAAGCTATTTTTGAAAAAACCTTTTTCGAAAAAGAGCGTCTAAACTATAACCAGTACGTTTGAAAAAGAAAGCTGCTTTTTTGAAAGAGAGCACCCAGGCAGTCTGGATGTTCTCTTTTGAAAAAGCACAGTTTGCATTACATAGCGCCTTTTTTCGAAAGAGCACTTTAGAAAAAAG